CAGGTATCCCTAAAATTTTTATTTTAAGCTCTTATTATGTAACTTCTAATGTTCTCACCTGTGATCACTGAATAGCTTTTTTTGTATGACATATTGTGCTATTTCTCTTTTAAATTTTTTGATGTTTTCTTTTTTGCTTTTTAAAAATCTTTTTGAGGTATAACATACATTCATAAGATGGACAAATCTTAAGTGTACATTCAGCAAATTTTGTCATATGTATGTACCTGTGTAACTGCCACCCAGATCAAGATATAGAACATTTCCAGTACCCAGAAGTCTCCATGGTGCCTCCTCCCAGTTAATACCCTCTCCCAAAGGTAATCTGAAAGTCAAGTTTTCTATCAATAGAGTTGATTTTACCTCCTCCTCTTTTCTTATTGTTTTATTTTGCCTCTTCTTGAACTTCATATAAATAGAAATATATGGTGTGCATTCCCATGTGTTTATTTTCTTTATTATAATCTGTGAGAAATATCCAAGTTGTTGCTATATAGTATCCCATTGGAATGTACACTATTATATTTCCATTTCACTGTTGATGGACATTCTGGTTGTTTCCAGTTAAAACATTTGAAGTACTTTTTTTGTTTTTTAAACCAAACAGTTTTTTTTAATGTTTATTTGTTTATTTTGAGAGTGAGAGAAAGAGAGTATGTTAGTGCACATGAATAGGGGAGGAAAGGCAGAGAAGGAGAGAGAAAATCCCAAGCAGGCTCTGCACTGTCAGAGCCCCACGTGGAGCTCGATCTCATGAACCATGAGATCGTGATCTGAGCCAAAATCAAAAGTCAGACACCTAGCCAACTGAGCTACCCAGGCACCCCTGATGTGCTTTTTTTAAAAAGATGGATTTTTTTTTATGAGTATATAATGGATGGTTTTATTCTTTAATATTTTGCATGTTGTTATTTGATACACATTTTTATTTTCACCTTCTGTAATACTTGCAACATTTCAATTTTCTCATTGAAGGGAACTCTCCTGTGTTTGTCTCTCCTTCCTCACATTTCTTTCCCACATTTTGCCTGTGGTACTCGACTCAGCAGTAAAGGAAAGAAACTGAAGCAGTGAGTTCATTGGAAAGATAGAATTTTAGAGTTTTTAGGCCTTCCTAGAGACCTTCTCATGCAGTTAATTCCTTCTACAGCTGAGTACCAAGGGATTACATGATTTACCCGGAACAAGGGCAGTCAGTGATAAAGCTGTGACCTACAAGTTCTGATTTCCATTCACAAAGTTCTTTTACTTGCTGTAGTGTTCACTTGAAGGGGTGGGGAAGTGCCAAAGGATTTCTCTTTGAAGAAAAAGAAAAGAAATTATTTAATCCTTTCAAAATGTAATTTGGAAATAAGGATTAAGCTACAACAATGTACTTTTTAAACTAATTAATCCATTTTGAGACACTTATCCGAAAGAACCTAAAACAGATCTGTAAACCATGGCCTGCATGTCATATCACGCCTACCATCCATTTTTGTACAGTCTGCAAACTAAGAATGGCTTTCACTTTTTCAATGATTAAAAAAAAAAATCAAAAGAACAATATTTTATTACATAAGAAAACTTTATGAAAGTCAGATATTAATGTTTATAAATAAAATTGTATTGGAACGCAGCCACATTCGTTTATTGTTTATTGCTGCTTTCAAGCTACAGTTGCAAATTTGAGTAGCTGCTGCAACAAAACCATATGGCCTGCAGAACCAAAAGTATTTACTTATCTTGCCCTTTACAGAAGTTTGCTGACCCCAAATGTAAAAGAAGGAAAAACTATGCGCATGAAAACATTTATTTAAGGGGCACCTGGGTGGCTAATTGGTTAAGCGTTCAACTTCAGCTCATGGTTTGTGGGTTGAAGTCCCGTGTCGGGTTCTGCTGACCTGGAGCCTGCTGCAGATTTTGTGTGTGTGTGTCTCTCTCTCTGCCCCTGCCCCGCTCACGCTCTCTGTCTCTGTCTCTGTCTCTCAAAATTAATAAACTTTAAAAAAGGTAAAAAACGTAAAAAAACATTTATTTAAACATTTTTTAGTAGTAAAAAATAAAAAAGCATGAAAATGTCAAACTGGAGTATGGTTATTTGAATTATAATTTAATAAATGTATGTGTTATTTGACTATTAAAATTATAATCTAAAAACAGTGTGGGGCACCTGGGTGGCTCAGTCGGTTAAGTGCCAACTTCAGCTCAGGTCATGATCTCACAGTTCATGGGTTTGAGCCCCGCATTGGGCACTATGCTGACAGTCTGCTTCGCATTGTGTGTCTCCCTCTCTCTCTGGTCCCCACCCCTCCCCGCCTCTCACCACTGGTGCTCTGTCTCTCTGTCTCTCAAAAATAAACAAACATTAAAAATAAATTAAAAATAAATAAAAACAACGAACTAACATCAGAATTCTTACGACTTGAGAGGTTTAAAAGGATGAAATTCCTTTATATATCATTTGTGCCGATATAGGTAAAGACTAAAAATAATTTGCAAAAATAATTATGGTTACAATGCTGGGGTCATCAACAACTTTTCCAACATTTCTGTATTATTATTTTCTATTTTAATGAGAAATAAAAACCTTGCACTATTTCTTTTCCAGCCTCATCAGGTAATGTGATATTTTACTTAATCAAACTTTTTGAATGATAGTTACAGTATATGAGTCACCATTATTTAAGGATTTCTAGAATGATAGGTTAGGAGGGACCTTAATTTTCTGCTTATGCCTGCATATTATAAATGAAGGATTGGTATTGAAGCTCAAAAAATACATAATAAAGTTAATTCTCTCAAAACTTAAGAATTTTTCAATAAATGCCTTGATGGTAAATACATTAACTTGAAAGTGTAAAATGGCAGTATGGTAACTATGTTTGAAAAGCCAGAGTCTCTTCTCCCTGAAGTCAGATTCAGCCTAATTTAAATAACCAATTTAAATTCACAGTCTGGTCCCACACCACTGGCACATACATATTTCCCAGTCTTTCTCCTCTAACAAGATTTATTATTTTTCTCCAGCAACCTCTATGTACCTGTGTATCCAGATCTGTTCTTTATTATTTATAGTTCCTGATTCTCATTTGGTGCTTAGCCAAGACTGCTTTGTATTGTTAGGCAGGTGTATTCATTTTCATTTTGTATTGTTAAGCAGGTAATTTGTGCTGTGACAAATTACCACAAACTTAGTGGTTTAAAACAACACAAATTTATCATCTTGCAGTTCTGGAAGTCAGAAGTCTAAGATGTGTCCTCTTGCACTAAAATCAAAGTATCCGTAGGACTACATTCCTCTGAATTCTCTAGAGTCCCTTTCCTTGGCCGGCATTCAGAGGCCACTGGAATTCCTTGCCTTGTGGTCCTTTCCTCCAACTTCAAAGCCAACAGTATAGTATCCTCAAGTCTCTCTCTGCCTCTGACCCTCCTGCCTCCTTTCTTATAAATACCCTCTGATTACATTGGGCCCACTTAGATAATCTCCCAATGTCAACATCCTTAACTTGATTACATCTGCAAAGTCCCTTTTGCCATGTAAGGTAACATTCACAGATTTCAGTGATTAAGATGTGGACAACTTTGGGAGACCACTAATCTACCTACCACAGTGGGGATTGTTAGGTAAAATAATGAGTTTTAATTTTTTCTTTTTGTAATGGTAGTATTTGTTTAATGTAGACAGTTTAGAAAATATAATTAAGCAAAAAGAGAAAAAGCACATACACCCAAAGGCAAAATTTTTATATGTAGCTTTTCTTTTTCCTGTATTTATGTGTAATAGTTTTGTATTAAAAATAATTTCTTAACCTGTATATTCATTTTGTATATAGTATAAATAGAACAGTAAACAAACTTTGGCATTTAGTTTTTCATGGGCCTTGGTACCCTTCAGTACACATTTGATATTAAGTAGATGCTGAGAAATTGATGGATTTTCTCAAATGATTAATTTTACATTGAGGAACAGATTTAAGCACTGTGATAAACTGATTTCACCTCTTTATATTTTATTTGACTTTGAATGTATCTCGATAAAATTTTCCACCAGCACACACCATTTCTTACCTAACAATTCAAACTAATTCATGCAATTCATTTCCTTTTAGCCTTTGACAGTGCATACTAATGACTTCTGTGTCCTTGTTGAGAAAGAACTTTCCTGGAGTGTATACTGCCCACTGTAGTGATACGATGTCCAGGAAGCCTGCCATTTCTGAGTCACAGAGATGCTGAGAAAAACTTGAGGCAAACAAATATCTGGGAGAATGAGAAGTGGATATAACTCTTCTGTTATAGAAACACAAATTTTTTAGGGCGACTTCATGGTTCAGTCAGTTAAGTGTCCAACTTTTGGCTCAGGTCATTATCTTGCCATTCATGAGTTTGAGCCCTGCATTGGGCTCTGTGCGAACAGCTCAGACCCTGGAGCCTGCTTTAGATTCTGTGTCTCCCTCTCTCTCTGCCCCTCCCCTGCTATCACTCTGTCTCTCTCTCTGTCTCAAAAATAAAAATAAAAAAAAAAAAAAAAAAAAAGAAAGAAATTTTTCTACTAAACTTTTAAAAATATTTTGTATACTACACTCACTCTAAAATTAATTTTCATACCTGTTATGATGATATATGTATGGTTCCTACTTTTAGAGCTTTGTTAAACATGTTTTCAGATGATTACTCCCTGTAACATTATCTATGTTGTCCAAGGCTGTTCACTACATAAACATCCTTGAAAAAATAATTCAGAGCAAGGACTTTCAGTGCCTTAGCTTACAAGATATACAAAAACATGAGAGATTGATGGAGAATTGTTTACCAACACTATTATCTACATACATGTTTATTATCTGTCTTCCCCAAAGCATATGAAGTTCCATGAGGGTAGAGATTTTTGTCTGTTTTATTCAATTCTCTATCTGTAGTGCCTAGAACAGTAAATGGTACATAGTAGGTGCTCAATAAATATCTGTTGGATGAATATTAATTATTTGGTCCATTTCCTAATGATATGATTGATTAGAAATGATAAAAAATAACCCTTGTATGTATATATTTTTATTAATAAAGCTCATTGGTATTTTGATATTACCTCTAATTATGTTGTAAAAGTAAATTTCCATTTTAACATTGATCTTTACTTTATGAAAGCCACCAAATTTAATAAACATACACATTTAAAGAAAAGCCATGGAGAAGGCGATTTTTACCAAAACGTGCTGTGCATTTTGTTATGATTGGGGCCTTTGAAACAAAGGCATAGATCAATAACAGCAAATCCTGCAGCATACTGAGTTATGCCACAGGGATTGAATTAAAATTTTAGCTAAATTTTTTCACTGTGGGTTTAAGTGAATAGATTCAGTTTTGCTAAGTGCAGTACTTGTCCTTTGAGTTTACATAATGCTCTCAAATTATATTCAAAATGAGAATATTCATCTCTTTAAATCTCCATAGGTTGTATTTAGTTATGGCACTGTGTTGGGCTGTGTTATGTCAGAAAAGAGTGGAGTGGGAGCTTACCTCTGCTGCTAATGAAGTGTATAAAAATACATAATGAGTTCCATAGACTTTGAAGAGGCCAGAATAGATGCTTTTTAATAGTCTAATTCTAGATCTTTTTGGGTTTTGTATATTCATACAACCACCTTTGTTACTCTGTTTTCAGGTGATGTCCTTGTTGCTGTGAATGACGTGGATGTGACTTCTGAAAACATAGAAAGGGTTCTGTCTTGCATTCCTGGACCCATGCAGGTATGGACAATCTTTTTCTATATTCTTTGATGAATTAAAAATAAGGACATCTTGTACTGTTTTCTTTTTTTAAGATTCTGAAAATGACCATGTATAACGTGAATTGCACTTACATACTTGACTGAGGGTTTTTTTTTTTTAATGTTTATTTTTGAGAGAGAGTGTGAGCAGGGGAAGGACAGACAGAGAGGGAGACACAGAATCTGAAGCATACTCCATGCTCTGAGCTGTTAGCACAGAGCCCAACACAGGGCTTGAACTCATGAACCATGTGATGATGACCTGAGCTGAAGTCAGAAGCTCAACTGACTGAGTCACCCAGACGCCCCTACATACTTGACTATTTAAAAAAATTTGGCTCTTGTTAACATTTTTAGCTTTTGGAGATGATTCTAAATAGAGGAGAAATATCTACAAATAAAACTCCTCCTGGGGTGCCTGGGTGGCTCAATCAGTTAAGTGTCTGACCCTTGATTTCCACTCAGGTTATGATCTCATGGTTCATGGGTTCAAGCCCAACATTGGGCTCAGTGCTGAGCATTGAGCCTGCTTGGGATTCTCTCTTTCCCTCGCTCTTTGCCTCTCCCTGGCTCGTGCTTGCTCATTCTTTCTCAAAATAAATAAATAAACTTAAAAAAATTAAACAAAAAAACTTATCCTAAGTAAGCAGGAACAATGACAATAATAAAAAGATCTATAATGACTAACCTGTCATTATAACTACCATATATGTTGATGAAAATACAGTTCCTAGAAAAGTCATTTTGAACAGTCATGGAATTTTCTTTTCTCTAATTTATTAAAATCACTATTAAGTTTTTTTAAATGTGGTTTTGTTTATTTTAAAAACTATACCATTTTGTTGATTTTTTTCTGTTATCTAGTTTAACCTTATTCCCAAGCTCTTATTTAGGTATTTAGTGAATTATTTTTCATTCCTTGTAGGTAAAAATAAATCTCTTTCATAATAGTTATTTTGATAGTCTAAGCATTGACATTTTGTATCATAGATGACATTTTTAGGTCTTTAGTTGAATTTTTAAAGTGCTATACTTTCTATTTATGAATGCTTTGCTCTTGTTAGTATCAGGAATTAGCTGGGGTGCCTGGATGGCTCAGTCAGTTAAGTGTCCGTCTCTTGGTTTCAGCTCAGGTCATGATCTCACAGTTTGTGAGTTCAAGCTCCACATTGGGCTCTATGCTGACAGTGTAGAGCCTGCTTGGGATTCTCTCTCTCTCTCTCTCTCTCTCTTTGTCCCTCCCCGACTTGTGAGCTCATGTTCTCTCTCTCTCTCTCTCTGTGTTTCTCTCTCTCTGTCTCTCTGTCTCAAAAATAAATAAACTTTTTTTTTTCAAGTTAGACTGTGGGAGAATGAAGCAACTTTCTGGATTGATCAGGATGATTTGAGATTCTGAAATATTGGCACCCACGATGAAATTCTTTATTTTCTAAGAAATAACATTTCCCTTATTTCACTTTTTTCTCTTAAAGCACACACACACCAAACATATACATGGATGCTCTGTAAAAGTAGCTATCTTTGGAAATGCAAAATGAAAGTGCTGGAATAAGTATGGTAGCTAGTGACCAGCAGTGCTTAGGAATGAATAGAGAGATATCGATGGAGACAAGGTGGTGTTCGAAATATTAACAATCAGGCAGACACCAGCCATACTGCTGAAATAGTGTATACTGTTGTCTCCTTTGGTTGCCAGATGTGGAGAGGTCAGCCAAGGTACTGTGGTTCCTCAGGGTGCTCAGATAGCAGCTACTTACCAATCAGTAATGAAGAATTATGTATTTTAACAACTGAACCAGCTTCACCCAAGTAAACTGGCTGTATGTCAGCCCTGGGTAAGGGCTTCTCCTTTCTTGCCTCTGTCAGTTGCCAGTGTCTGCCAGTCTTGCCACAGCTCAACCATGTCTCTTCAGTCTTCCAAAAAAGAAAAATTATGTTTACAGTGGAGTCACATTATACTTATGTTTGATTGTCATTTGCAAATTCAGCTATGCGCACTCAGAAGAAAAAGAAGAGGAAGAAGTAATGATTTAAATATTTTGGTCCAGTTCCACCCACCATTTACATGTCCTCGTTAAGTGTGAAGTAGGAGTCGTTTATCTGCTCCTTGCCCAGTTTGCGTTTTACAGCGTGAGCATCTTGCTGCATGAAGTGTGGTTCTGGATTTAAACACACACACACACACACACACAGCTTTTATGTGCCAATATGTACATCTTGTACCTAAATGAAGACATAGCAGTTTGTTTTGAAGATGGAAGAAAAACTGTTTTGAGTTGTTTGAATTTATCATATTGAGAGAATATGTTAATGCTCCAGTACTCTAGCACATTCTTGCCTTTCCTAACGTAAATTGAAAGTGATTTTGACACTATATAATTTGAAAATATAAGATTAAGATGTGTATTATTAAAATCTTTTTATTATTTAAGGAAATATTTTTTTCTTATTATAAAGGTAATACATGTTCACTGTAAAAAAAGAAAACGTAAGGGACAAAATCTTTTAAAATCCTGCCACCTGAGGATATCTAGTATTAATATTTTGGAATACTTTATTCTAATTTAACCCCTTGAGTATAAACATGTATACATTTGTTTGCTTTACTAGCAGAATCGGTAGTATAGCTGTGTCATAGTCAAAAGCAGGCACCAGCATTTGGGACAACATGTCTTGAATAATGATTTAGAACATAGTTAAAATTCTTTTAACTAGAAATAATGTTTAATTGGTAAACCACGTTTTTCTTACATCATTAGTATTGAAAGTGGGGAAAACTATAAGCTTCTCTATACCAGCCATGTAAACTAGGAGGCTCAGGGAGGGTAAGAGTAGGCCTGGGAAGGGAACTAGTGTTTGTACGTGCCAGGCATATGTCGGTGTTTTGCTAATATCGTTTCACTTATTCTTTATAACAGTCTGTAAGATGCCAGTAATTGTATTTCTATTTTACATGTGAAGAAAAAGAATCTAAGAGAGATTTAATGATTTCTCCTAGGTAGTAGAATTAATAACTCAAGGAACTGAAACTGACTCCAGTGCACAATCCTTCCCTTTGTCACAAAGCCTGGGTGGGTCTTCACTCCTACTGGGTCAGAACTAACTGAGGTGAACTTATCCCAGAAAAAGTTGTTTTACCTGCTTTGTATCTATGGCATCTAAAACAGTTATTTAAACAATAAGAGGAGAGGAATGCTAATTTATAAAGAATACCATAGGAGACTTTTTAGCATTTAAATTTGAAAATATCTAACAGCAACATTTTCAGCTTCTACTCAGGGTATAAAAATGGTCTGAAGGCTTCATGTGACAGAATATGGCCTGGGAGATACCTACAATGTGGTAATGTGGTAGGATGAGGTCAGATCTCCATTTTAAAACCCTGCTCTGAGCAATTTGCCAGATTCTTCAGGGCTTCAGTTTTCTCATCTATAATCAGAGTAGATTTGAGCAAATATATCTGAGCCCAGTTCCAACTCTGCAGTTCTGTGTTTGGTTTTTGAATAAGTTCTGTTACAAATAGATTCCAAATACCAGAATGAGATCCAGAGGTGAAGCCTATACGCTAGGTAAGATATAAAAAGCCCGAATCATTTTCTTTCAAAGCCAAGTTTTAACATTCTGCAAAAACAGTTGTCTTAGAGTGTCCAAAAATTTAACTATCATGAAAGGAAAAAAAGGCTGGAGAACTATTCTAGACTAAGGCAGACTGAAGTGACATATAACTAAATACAGTGGCTAATCCTTAATTGATCCTGGATTGCAGTGGGAAATAGTCATATTGGGACAATTGGGAAAATTTGGACACAGACTTTGAGAACAATATTGTATTGAATATTCAGATTCCTAAATGTGATCATTATATTTGGTTGTGTAAGAGAATGCCTCAGTCCTTAGTACATACATGCTCAAGTATTTAGCAATGAAACATTAAAATGTCTGCAGATAATTCTGAAGTGATTCAGTCAATTTTTTTTAATGTTTTATTTATTTTTGAGAGAGTGCACAGAGGGGAGGAACAGAGAGAGGGGAACAGAGGATCTGAAGCAAGCCCTGCACCGATAGCATTAAGCCTGATGTGGGACTTGAACCCACAAACCGCGAGATCATAACCTGAGCCAAAGTTGGATGCTCAACTGACTGAGCCACCCAGGTGTTCCAGTCAATATTTTTTTAGTACATAGAGTGGGAGTGAGGATGGAAGGAGAGAGGAATATGACAGAGAAGAGAAGGAGAAAGGAAATGTAACAAAATGTTAAGCATTGTTAAAACTGGATGAGGAATAATACATGGGTAATTATTATATTCTTGCAACTTTTCTGTAGGTTTGAAATGTTTTAAATTAAGAAGTTGTAGGTTTGAAAAAAAGAGGTTTTAGGTATTTAAAATGATAACAAAGGTGCAAGTACCCTTCTAATTACCTACTTTTGTGATTTTGATCTCCTGCCACAGCTCTGTGCACTCATTTATTCTACAAGCACATAATTGTGCAGGTAGTATACCACCCACTCCTGGCTTGATCAGGGTTTTTGTGTCCACATTATGCAGTTGACCAGGGTTGATTGCATTAAGTACTGGGCCATAGTTCATTTTCCTGGAGATTTGGAGGGAGCCAACTCCTTTTAAGGAGATCGGCCTGTGGAACATTAGTCCCGGACTCTTACTTCTCAAGTACTTCTTAGGACCAAGAGAGGGGTGAAAAGTTTTCTTAAAGGAGATGATATTTAGGTGGAATTTTTTAACTTTTATTATTTTCTTGTTACACAAAAATGATATTCATATATGCTGTGGAAAGATTAGGAAATTGACTGGCAAAATTTTTAAAAATATGTATTTGGGGGCTCCTGGGTGGCTCAGTCAGTTGAGTGTCCAACTCTTGGTTTCGACTCAGTTCATGATCTCACAGTTCATGAAATCAAGCCCTGAGTCACGCTCTGCAGTGACAGCCCAGAACCTGCTTGGGATTCTCCTTCTCCTTCT